GTGTGTGGACGTGTGTGTGTGTGTGTGTGTGTGTGTGTAATGTGTGTGTGTATATATGTGTGTGTATGTATAAGTATATATACAAATATGTATGTTTGTGTAGATATGCTGATTATTATATATATATACATTTATATATATATATATATGTGTGTGTGTGTGTGTGTGTGTGTTTGGGTGTGTGTATATATAGATATATATATATACATATATATATATACATATATATATATACATATATATAAATACATATATATATATCAGAGAATTGATTGGCCATCAACGCCAACTCATCGTAGTCCTCTACTAATTTACACTGGATATGAGTTGCCCTTGAGCTCGTCAATCGCTCAACTACATCCGGTTCTGCTGTCAGTATCTTTGCAATGAAACTACCGGGAAACTATGGTATCATACTACCACCTGTGTGAATATTGTCATTCCAGCATGTTGATATGTTTGTGAATGCGTCCGTCATTTGGAACAGGTTCCACACCCTACAGTCCACCTCCATGTATGTTCATACATTTATTACTAACCCCTGTTATAAGCGCACATATACACACGCCCATGTGCCTTGTACGTGTTAATATACTATAGTCGTATTATTCCGCCGTGAAAGCGTTCAAAATCTACTCCGCTCTTAGAAGCATGCTAAAACTGCGAGCTGGGATCCACTCTGCTCAAATACGTACCGGCCCTACTAGACTGTGGGCTGGGGGTCATACCTTCAACCGAGGACGTGCCTAAGTTAGCGCCTGTAACAGCACCCGACGTTGAAGGATGCCTCATACTTTCCCTCCTCTTATTTGTATTGATAACTTTCGGGGGCGCTTGCGTTGTGCTTGTTTCTGAACGCACAGATTGCCGTTGCTTGTTGCTTGTTCCCAACCCTGTACTTGGATCGCTATCCTGGGCTTCATCCCCTACATCGGTCACCCCATTGCCCGCAGGCACGTTGATGGCCTCGTGCTTCTTGTCGCTCAGGTCCTGGGTTTGCGATGTGGAGGCGTTCTGTTGTCCTTGTGGTGGTATGTTGCTGGCGCCTGGAATGTTGCCTGCAATGCCCACAGTGCCTCTCTGCTCCTTACTCAGCCATGCTTGGAATGCTGTGCGATGCTCTTCAAAGTCACTGTACACATTTTGCGAGGTTAAGAACTCGCGGAATTTGATGAAGTCGCCCTTGGATGCCACCTCAGGATACGCAGGCTGTCCGATACTGATATCGATACCATCGGCTTCTATCTCTTGCGACACACGCGTGTACCCTGCCAATGACAACGGTAAGAGTACTATCACCGTGGAAATCAAGCCCACTGCGGCAATGACTAGGTACCCCACCAATTGCTTGTATAGAAGGTCGAACTCTCCGTGAATGACGCCCACCACTTCATTGTTGGGGTCACTGGCAAAAATGGCAAGTCCAAACACGCCCACAAAACCCGAACCCCCGTGTACAGCTACTGCGTCTAGGGGATCATCCAGTTGCAATTTGTTCATCAACTTCCGCACAGCAAAGTACACTAACGTAGCTATCACTCCGAGAAGGTACGCAGACCACGGCTGGTAGTAAAAGCATCCAGCGCACACTGCGATGGACCCGTTGATCACACCCATATTGACGTGTGTGAGCTCGTACACCTTCTTACCCGTGAAGCGCGACATTAACACGGCCGTTAGCCCACCGCCCATGGCCCCCAAGGCAGTGTTGACCAGCGTCAACGCGTAATACTGCACCACGTCCGGTTCATCAAAACTGATTGTCAGTACAGATGTTCCATTGAATGCGTAGAATCCGGCAACGAGCAGAACAGTGCCCAGACTCTGCATCAGAGAGGAGTGCCCCACCAACGACTTCGGGTCGTCAATCCATCTGCCCGTGGCATCGAGCCGTTCTGAGCGAGGGCCTATCATCCACACCGCCGCCACTGCACAGAAGGCCCCGTATGAGTGTACCACACCAGATCCGGCAATGTCCACAAATCCAAACTCGGCCAGCCATCCCTCGGAGTTCCAAACCCAGTGCACAATCAATGGATAAAACAGAATAGACGACCACAGACACCACCACATGTACGACTCAGTCGATGAGCGCTCAGCCACCGCCCCCGACACAATAGACGAGGCAGTTAGAGCAAATAGAGCACCCACCATCCACGTGGTTAGGTTGACTGCTCCTAGATTGAACCCAGCAGAAAGCGCATAGAATTCACCATCTGTACCGAAGACAGGACCTGAACCATAAGCGATGCCTCCACCTATCAGCCAGAACCCGGTGATTCCCACACTCACATTGAGAATATTCTTCATCAGAATTGCCGTGGCATTCTTACTGCGTACGCTTCCAGCTTCCAATAAGAAAAACCCGGCGACTAGCAGGAACAGCACGGGTAACAAGTTCAAGATCTCGCCCACGACAAAGGTTTCGAGTGTAACTGCATCCTGGGTATTGTCAGACATTTTCAATTCGTAGAAAGATTCGTTCCAGATACGCCCTGTGTGGCTATAATATTAATGCGAGTTCTTTTGCCTTTTTCAACGGTCTCACCATGCGATTTAATGTGCGCAAAGTGATTTTCCTTTAAGAGCATATGCAATACATACACCGAAGGGCGCTTTGTCGTCGGCGCTTGTAGACGCGATATATATCACCAGGAGCGACAAACTCTGATGGGTGGATATTATCACTGAATAACGTTTAATAACATGTGACTTTGTATATCAGAGCACTGTATGATTCGATGTAATATGTAAACGCTATCGCGAACGTAGTCGTGTGCAGAGATAAGAAGCGTGCGTAAAGCCTTAAACCACTAAATACATTGCGCGACACTGTAAGTGCCGCCCTCCCGTGGTGGTTCTTTTTAATTATATTAAAATGACCATAGCATATAATAAATATATAAAATAGACCGACATATATTGACACCGGGGTCACACAAGTGATTCCGGATACGACTCATACCGTCATAGCCCTCTACTCTGAAATTTGAATAGACTGAAATAAAAGTGAGCCCAATAAGTCTTTTAAACCCAACACTGTAAACGGCTAATTTTTTATTAAATACATATGTAAATACAGTCATAGCCTCCTAAAAAGAACAGCGTGTACGGTATGTAAATTAGTATTTTTTTAAAACGAATATATAGTAGATAACTAGATATGTTCTATATTCTTTTTTGATTTTTTAAAAACACCAAAAAAAGCAAATCACAGAGGTGCACAAACCTTCTTTTTGGAATGACCCAAATTGATTTTCACATCGGCTAATTCTAAATTCTGATGAGACTCCGCAATAATCTTTTTTGTGGACTATATTTGAAATCTCGATTTTGCTCAAATAAAAACCCAGAAACCTACTAAAAATATAAAAATATATATATTTATTTTTTAAATATACCCGAAAATAGAAAATATTATGCATCGGATACTTTTACCGATAAAATGCTGAAATATTCAAAAATGCCAAATATATTGCTAATTGTATGTTCTTTTGCAAGGCACTTATTTAAAACCTTCACTCATTTTAGGGGTTTGTTGGCTATTTTTATCGGTTTACTCCCAATCATTTCATTCATTCAAATTTTGGTTTTGTTTTTAAAAAACATAATTTGTTTTTGTAAAACAAACAAATATTTACAAAAAGAAATATAAACGGCTGCCGCTGATATATATTTATTTAATTATTTTTAAATATGTATTATATATATATAAAATTGCGTCCCTCCGCCGGTCCATCCTGTGAATTGTTTTTTGTATTAAAAAAAAACACATTGTGAAGCAAGAACATTTTTAGTCGACATTATTGCTCATATTTACATATTATATAGCAATAGATTAAAGAAGCTGATGCAACATCACGCAATTGGTTCTAATTATTGAATGCATTTTCGAGTGAAGAAGAAATTCAGCAGCTTCTTTTGCTTTTTAAAGACCACAAAATACTGAAAATCAATCACCAATATAAAGTATAAATACATATTTTAAATGCTGTCCATTTTTCAATGAGCCATCTCTACTTCAAAAGTGGCGGTTTTAGGGTTTACAATATGCTTCCAAGACCTACACAACTATATCTAGTGGCAGTGTGAGTTCCATGGATTGAAATTTCTTTAGTAACGATAAAAGATTAAAAGGGAAAAATCTCGCGAGAATATGTGAAATCTTCTGGGAAGCAAAGCGTGTGTATCAACGCGTTCATAAACTCCACTGTTCTTTCTTGATTAATAGAATAGTAGCAAAAGCAAATGTCAACGACTACTTCCAGACCAGCTACCTCGATTCACACCATAAAAAATCGACGAGAACATACCCCGTGGAACAACACCTCTAACAATTACATACCCTGAGCAATGGACAAAGATGATGACTTTTAGAAGATACTGGGCGCTGACTTGGATTATGACTATATTTCGTAGGTCAATTCTAGTCATTTTCCATCAGTACTGGAGATCTTGATATACCTACATCAAAAGAGGTTCTCATAATCTTGAGACTTGTGTCTCACTTTCTCGTTGATAGAAGTATCAATGCCTCATTTTTAGACGAAGAAGGCTATGCTCATTTGTAATTGCTCATTAGTATTTTTTTAAGGGTTTAGAGTTTTAGGGTTAGAATATACTAACTCGTAAAAGTTTTTCAGACTTCGTTTTTTTGTTTTTTTTAAATTATGTATTTATTTTCAAGCTGTTCGGAGTTCGGACTTCGGACACGCCTCGTTATTTTTTAAAGTTAAAAATATTTTGTGGCGAGTTCTGATTCCTACATGTATGTAAATTCTAAATATTTACTGCTACAATTTGACAATTGACCTACATGAATCTATGATATTTACATACAGTAATAACAGCGGTGTGGTTTTAAAATATGTGCTCAGGATGTGACACGGTGACGTCTGTGACACACTCTCAGCGACAGTCATCATTCAAATGGACACAGAAATAGGGTGTACAAATGTGTGCGGCACTTCACAGTTATAAAAGTCACGGAGTACTCTTTTAAGTTTTAACCGTTCTTATGAGCCATGAGTGTACATAACTACATGTGCTTTTTTTTTTCCACATTCTTAATTTTTAACGAACAAATACGATGCTAGTGATTTTAAAAGTAAGAATCTGGGTACTACCAGGGCTTCCACTCTCCACAATGCCGCAACGCGAAAACACATACCAATGAGTACATCGACGCACGTCTTCAATATAAATTAGGTATTCACTATTCATACAGCGGCTCGAGCCTCGAAATGGTGTGAATATATCGGATTTTAGCATCACATATCTGGTGATCTCAAGTCAGCACGACATAAAATCTATTTTTAGGAGAATCCCATGGATAGTTGTGTGACATCACTGCCACGCCATGATAGTGTATAAGACATTCATATTGTTGAAGAAGTTGTGTGCCATACCATGATAGTAAGACATATTGTTGAAGACAAGCACGGTAATTCTTGCACTCAAAATCTAATAGCGAGGAACTGAAATCACTGTCGTGATACTGGACCAGTACGTGTGAAAACCTGACATGACTGCAAAATGAGGTCATCTTTGGTCATTAAATGGAAGTATCAAATTTGCGTTTATCATAAGTTGCGTATTAGGGACTCAATTGTGTGGTATGGTCATGTATGTCGTCATCATGTGTAAGGCTCCATTATCCACACCTATATCGATACTGAACGTTCTTATGACAAGCTTTGAATGGTACACAAATATAAAAACTGATACTGTAGGCTTGACCACCAGTATTAGAATACTCGTCAGCAATGTATCGAAATAACTCGCCACAACTTTAAATTATGAACTTCCATCTTTGTCAACAATATATCGAAATAACTCGCCACAACTTCAAATTATGAAATGCCATCTTTTAATATATGAAGTACGTTTCCATCATTGCTACTTCTCGGTTCTTTCAGATGGATATGTCGGTGTAGCAGGCTCAGCGGTTCACAAATTGAGTAGCTGATGCGGCATGTAAGATTTTCACATTACCAGATGATGAATTGTTGAAAAGCAGAAAGGATGTTGGCGAAAATTATCAGGGTCCAAGAAAGGGGATGTACTTCTTTTATAGGCCATGCTCTGGTATTCGATACCTATTAGTATATTTAAATTGGGTATTTGTCCATTATCTTTTGATTATTGATACAAGTAATTTAAGTGGTTGGTGAGAAAATCTCTGTTCATATTCGTCTATTTTGCGGCAGTTGTTGACATTTACTTCCGTCTTGCAAGTAGAAAAAGTCCAAAGTATGCAATGACCATGTAGCCCAGGAAGAGTACCACTGAGAGGAGAAGTTCCTCCCAAATTACGGTGTCCTGTATTGTGTGGCAACAAGCACCAGAAATGAATTGATGATCAGTGCCACAGGTGAACATGCGCGGCCCTCAGTCTGCATAAAGGAGTGTGTGATATATATATCCACACATATTTAACCCTGATGCTATCACTGGATGAAAGATATGCTGGATTTGTATCACTTGTTCACAATAGGACGGCAAGAGGTATACTTTACATCTGAATATGAAATTAAAACTCTATTTGAATATAAAACGATAATATATTAAAAAAAGGCAAGTCCTTCGATAGATATAACCGAGGGAATAGGATAACCTGTGCACGGCTGTAGCAAGATACCGATCGGCATTAGTATACCCAGACTCAAATCTGCGCAGGATTCACAGACAATTCAACATTGTTTTCCGAGTACACGACTTGATAAAACAGCACGTGCTAAGTCTACGATGCATGATATAAATAAATAAATCCACAAAACGCGGACCTCATGCAAAACATAAGTACGAATATACACGCCCACGCACGAGCAA